ATTTAATTTGACTTTCTATCTTTGGATATTGATATTTTAGATATACAAATGTGGGGCCAAAAGTCAGGAGAAAAGAAATACAAAGAATACGCTATCTTCAAGGCAAAAAGAGATTACAAAAAAGAAAAAAAAAGAACGCTATGAAATGTTTAAAATGGAGCTGAATCTCACCCCCAAAACCAAAATTGAGGCTGACTTTAAGTCCTGGGGTCTAATTAACAATCTACAAAAATTAAAGTGTTGAGTAACATTTCAAAGAACACTATGGAGATGCAATTCAATTAAACCCAGACATTTAACAGGGAAAATTATTAGCATTAGGGGGTATGAAGGGAAGAGCAATATATTATAGATTGAAAGAGACTTAAGAGACATATTACCTAAATGCAATGTGTGGCCCTGCTTTGATTCCTATTCTCCCAACTTAGTCTAAATTCACACTTGACAGCTAACACTGACAAGCATCCTAGCAAGGGTGCATCCAGGTACTCATCTAATGTTTTCTAGTTTGCAGTAACAGAGACATAGCATCCATGTGCATCATCTGGCTAAAGTAACTCTTGTAGGGGTTGGGGCTATGCTTGTGTTTCCTAAATTTTTTGAGTATGGGACTACTGCATGACTACTTACAGGTCCCACTGCCCCTGAGAATCTGAAACAAGCAAGATCTTTGAGAGCTTTGGAAAGTAGTGCTAGAAAAATGTTCTGGTAACATTGACTATAACCTTGAACTTTCAGAATCAAAAAGGCTTTTTGAATGAAAGTCTTTGGCTGAAGAGAAGAATAAAAAATTGGAGAATAATACAATTTCGATTATGTTTTGCTGCTTTAATTTATAAAGCCAAGAGTTTTAATTTGGGATATTTAAATTCTTCCTGGAAATATAGTAATCAGAAAGGTCTTATTTTGTCTTAATTTACAAAAGATTTTTTTCTTTTGGCTGTTATATTATTTGGAATATCATTTGGTCTTATTGCAAAACCTCTGATTATCGATGTTGCACAATGCAACCAAGCATAATGTGGGATGGTAAATAAAGCAGAGTGATTCAATGTGACTTTGGAATTAATTTAATTAATGTACTACTTTGCCCTCCATGGGAACTTTCTGGGGGCTCCACTGGAGCACAGGCGGGTACAGGCGTACTACTGACATTTTATAGGTAGCTTCCTGAATGTGAGACTGCTGATAAACTTCTTTCTGAAGGGAGCAGATATACTTTGTCTGGCCATGGGTTTTGTTAAGTGCAGTGGGTTAAGAGGACAAAAAGGCCAGGGATTAAAAGAAAGCTTCTTTTTCTTGCACTCTCACATTCTTTCCAGATGATAAAATAAAAGCTCAACCCCCTTTTTTTAGTATCGAAAGTTAGTTTTCACCCTTCCTCCCAGTCTTCCTCCCTTCTCAAAGGAGATAGCAGATGTCTCTTGTGTTTCCACTCAAATGTTTCCTTATCATAGTACTTTCTCATCCCCATTCCCCTTACTCTTGTTTATGTTTTATCATAACACTTACCACTATCTGAATCATTTGGTAATTACTGATTTATTTGTTTGCTTGTTTTTGTTTTTTTGTCTGTCTCTTCCCTCTAGAATGTAAGCATCACAAGGGCAAGGTTTGCTTTGCTCATTAATATGGGCCGACTGATATAATCTATATATCCATCATATCTATCTCTATTTCTAGAATCCTGCATTATATATATATATATATATATATATGGTTGGCTCTCAGTAAATATTTGCTAAGTGAATGAATAAATAAATGAATGAACATAATGACTTCTCCAGTAAGGTTGGCGAAAGGGACTTGGATATGTTATGTGTATCTAAGCCCTATTCTAAGCTATCAGTCTCCCAGCTCTCTTGCATCTAAGATGGATATAAGGTTGATGTGTGGTAAGTAAGTTCACTAGGTCAGGGTCTCTTCATCCTACAACTTGGAGCAAAAGGGGAAAGAGTGGGGTAGGGAGGAGGAGGATGAGGAAACAGAAGTTATGTTAGTCTAATTCTCACATGGAATAGAAATCTTTATTTTTCACTCCAGCCTTATCAGCAATAAAGTCGATATATTTTTACCCAACTGTATCTGAGCAATTGCATAATACTCAAATTTATCATTTTCAAATCTGAAAGGTAAAAAGGTGATGCAGGAAATTTTGACATGTTTCTCAAGCATCGAAAACAAAGCCAGTTGCAATTAAAAATAAATGCCAGATTGACCTCCATGAATGATAAAACACCTGCAATAACAAACTTGGACATAGGTCAGCAGTAAATCCCATTATTTCAGTGGCAGTCACCGCTGAAAATGCATTCTAGGTCATCGACTTAAGCTATATGACATGTTTCTCATAAAAAAAAATGGGTATAGAATATCCCTATTCTGTGTTTTATTTGCATGAAAGAATATAAAAGTATTTTGTTACATAAACAAACTGCTTAGTAGAAGGAGCATTAAATTATTTAATAAGTTGGAAAAAATTTATAGCTGTTTTGATGTGGATTTTTAAACCAAAAAAATCATCAAGCCCCTCTTTCTTTACATAGTTTTATCCATCTTTCTCCAATTCACTGTGAGCCCTAAACCACTTGCTTTCTTGTGGGCCAGCAAGTTCATCTGCAACATGGAAAATAGACACAGGTTATATATTTATCTCTGGGTTTTCTCTCATGGATCTATTCATGAGTTTGGAGCTTTAATTTATCTTGGACAGACTTGCAGGGCTCACTGCAAGTGGAGAATGCTATATTCAAAATTGGGCTCAAGAAGCCAACAGTTCCAAAATCTTTTGTAACATAACCACGTTATATTCTCTCCTTATTTCAAAGCACTTTCAGATACAGAATCAATTTTATTATTGATTGTCATCTTACAAAGTAATACATAGTAAAAAGATAAAGGCATAATTCACTCTGAAATTGTACTGGAGTACAGTAAAAACCCCAAGGGACAGGGGATCCATGTTAAGTCCTCAAATAAATGAGTGGTTTGGCTGGAGATGAACTACCTCTCTTTTCTTGGTAAGGGAGCAATGCCAGAGGAATACTTAAGTCTTTTATCAATTTCCGTTTCTGAGCCACTATTTCCAAAGACACAATAAGCTCCCATGTATTTTCTTTCCCCTTGTTTTTTGTTATTTTCTAGCTTCCCTTGATGAGGTTTTTTAGGTTATATGATTCAAACCAGCAATGACTGATAGGAATGAATTAAGAAAAAAAAATTGCATAGGACCAGGTATTTAGTTGTAAGCAACCTGATATTTAAAAATAAGAAAACATTTTCAGTACTTTATATGAGATACTAAGATAAGGAGATACTGTTTTAAATAATACCAGTTTAGGATTAATTCCTACGGTCAACTCTATTACATGAGAACTCATGACTTTCATCCCCCAAATATCAAATTTTAGGTTAGAAAAGCACAATGTTTGGGACTTAATCAGAATGCAAGGTACTTTTTTTTTTTTTTGACAGAAAACTGTTGTTCTATAGTAGAGTTTTCCCCAAACAAATTTAATTTCCAGCTATTTTTTTCTAAACATATTCCACTATGTATATATATCTGTGTGCAATGAAAATAGCTAATTTTTATTGATATGGAGCAATTGCACAATATGCCTCAACTTGTTGAAATCATTCTAATAAAAACCTAAGTTGGCACCTTCACATTCTAAGATTTCTTCAAAAACTGAAAAGCCCCCTACGCAAGAATGAAGTCTTTTAGTCAAAACGTAGCTTTCTTTTCCAATTTATCTGGGATTTATACTTTCATGCTGATTTATTTTACTTCATTTTGTTTGCATTTCCAAAGACACCTAATTGAAACATTTCTTTTGACTCAATCTTCCTTAAGAAATGCAAAGGATCAGTAAGCATATTATGTATAAAGAAGCCTATATAATAACATGATTAAGCGCTGTGTCTTAATATTCCCCATACCTTGTTATTTCTTTAAAAAATGGCACTTAGAGCTGTTTATAAGGTCAGCAAAAATAAACAATAGAAAAATCCACGAATTTAAAAAGAAGCCATGCAGAAAGAAAAAAAAAATACCTTTAGTATCTTGTTCAGGTTCCCTTTCTTCTGTTAATAAAAACAAGACAAAACAAACACACACAATAAACACGCAAACAAAACAACACATCATGAAAAGGGAAATCTTTGACCACGGAAACATCAATTGTGCAACAAGATTAATTAGAAGCTGCCTGTTTCTTATTTCAATAAGAAACAAATGCAATCACGGGAAACTGCCGGCCTTTTGAAAGCAAACTATTAAATGACATAAGATTTCAAATGATTACTTTTAGCCAGGCAGTATTATACAGAAAATAAACTACAGCATATCTAACAATGTAGCTCTTTCATGAATTTTTATTCTAATGTTGACAATTACCCTTTCTTTCAGGGCCACAGAGTGCCTACTATTCTCATACATTGTGTTCCCCACTGTAGCTTAGAGTCTCTTCTTACCAGGCCCTGCTGTGAAGTCAGTGGTGTTGAATCTGGGATCTCAGCTATCATTTCTATGGCAATAGACTCATGTTGTGGTAAACAGAGGATTAGGGGGTTTCTGCAGAATAGAACCTACCACATACGGAGATCTGCAACTCTGCACTAACACAGAAGCTGCTTGGAGAGCAGAAAGGAGCAAATCATTACCTTCTGGGAATTTACTACGGAAGTAAGGTCCACAGGATATTGTAAAATGTTTAGATTGGATAGAAAGCACTGAGAATTTATAAATGTTTAAAAATCCTAGAAGAGAGACAACAAAACCAAATTAATTGTTCCAAAATGTCTAATATAACCATACCAGACATAGACCCCACGTAGAGCTATAGTTTTCTTTCCTGAAGTTTTATTTGTTCATGTCAATTTGAACCTTTCTTAGAGTTAGTAATAAGCCAACTGCAATATTTATTTGTAAGTAAAAAATGGCCATGCTATATTGCTCACAACATTCAATGACAATACACTTGCATAGTCCTTCACAGATTATGGATATTTTCATGCACATTTTACGTGATCTCATTTAACTCTCACCATATCTCAGTAATTGAACATAATTGATACTATCCAGGCTGAGTTTGTTGACCTGTACATGCGATGGAAATGTTCCACTTGCAACTGCATCATGGTTGCCAAGGACCATGTGTCCATCCAGATGAACTTAGCCAAAATTGACGAGGTCACAGGCAGGTTTAATGGCCAATTTAAAACCTATATTGTCTGTGGGGGATTTCTCAGAATGGGTGAGTCAGATGACTCCATTCTCTGACTGGTCAAGTCTGACAGCATCTCAAACAACTTCTGATTAGTGAGAATCATGAGTGTGAAATATTTGTCATAAATAAATAGTGAAACCCCTCATTTTCTCCATCTAAAATTAATGGGTTCAATTAATTTTAAATGACATTTTCCAAACAAAGGATATGAGTCTTAGAGATTTGCTGCAGGTGCAGAGCAAGAAATTCAACCTCCTTTGCAGACATTGAGTCTTCCCAATGAGAAGTTCTCATATTTATACTTAAGACCCAAATCCCTTACATTTAAGAGAATTTGTAATTCCTCATTTAGATTCTATTGTCTATGTATACCTATGTAACAATCCTGCAAGATCTGCTCATGTACCCCAAAATTTAAAGTACAGATTTTACTGTCTGAACTTTCCCTACCTCCATCAACTCTGAATTGAATACATTTATTATTAAAAGGAGATTTAGAGGTCATCTGTCAAATGTCCCTTCAAATTAAGAAAATTTTTTTTTTAAACACTATTCCTAATGGTGCCTGGTAAAGCATAGGTATTGGATAAATATTAGTTTCTTTCATATTGAAAACTGGTGATCTGGACATTTGGAAACTGCAGATCCCCTGTCTGTATTACAGACCTTAGTCAGAAGAAATAAAAGAAGGTCCATGGTTGGGCCACATTCGACCTGAACAATTGCATTTGAATGCCTTTGTGCTGGACACATCTTTCTAGTTCCCCAGAACAATGTCCTTGCTTCTAAATTTGGGGGGAAAAAACTTCACTCTCTCTCTCCCTCTTTTTCTTTTTGCTTTATCAGCCAAGTACCTAAGAGTGGATGGGGTGGCCATGGTGTTTTTATAGGAATATTAAGTGTCTTTATTCTGTGACTGTGGTATCTCTAAATTTTATTCTATTAAAGTTAAAGAGTATCAGTATTTTTTTATATCGGTAATTTTGAGAATTATCTTCACTTGTCATTTTCTTCCCTTAGAGAGCTCTTTGTCAGGGTTCAAGGGCAAGTGCAGGTCAATTCTGAGTCTCCTTTCAGTTTTGTTCCATAATCTATATAGGACGTACTTAAACTCTACTTTGTGCACAGGCTCAATTTTAGATAATGTTAATTTTCTTCTGGTATTCTTCACTTTGATGTTTCTGTTATTCATTTTGCCTTACTTGTTTGGGAATGAAAGCAGTGGAAAACTTGGAAAGAATACACCTATTTCTCCCACTGTAAATAAACAGGACCAACTCAAGAGAAGAAAGAATGTCTAAGATTTGGCGTTTTCCTATGAGGAAGTTTAGAATTTCTACCAGAAATTATGGTTTCATTTACATACTATCAAAATTTCTTTCTAATGCAAATATATTATACCTCTTTATAGATACAAATTTATATATGTTTATGCATTAACATACACTTGCATACACACACAGTTGAGGTTACTTTAGAGAAAATTATACAAGAAAAGTCTATAGGCCTATTTAAGCTCAGGTATTCAGTGTATGACTTTGTATGTATCTATGACTTATTCAGTGTATGACTTTGTTGGTCATTTCAAGGTCAAACAGTAGTCCCAGCTTTTCCACGTATCCTGCTTGCCTAACCTACTATGATCACTCTTGAATTCTCCACTTATTGTTTTACCATTTATCAATTTTAAAATATTCTGCTTCATCATCTTTCTTCCAATTTAATTACTACATTTTTATTTAATTGCTTTGTATGTAACGCATTGTTCTTGTCTTCCAAATTGATTTGTAAACTTCTTTAGGAAGGTTACAGCTAGAATTATACTGGGGTTCGTATTAGACTTTTGTTGTTAGTTTATTTTCCTCTAAACTACAGCACAGTCTCTTGTAGAAAGAAGATCACACTTACTTTTAAAAAGCTACTTGCCAGTGGCATTAGTGAGGCATTTTCATCCTATTTTGTTGGAATTGTCTAATAGGATGTTTAGAATAATCAATGACTGCTGTTATTGGACTAATTTGAGATGTAATTTATTCACTTCACTTCAACATCCAAGGTAAATAGTAATCCATAATTTTCTTAAAAAGTTTTATTTATTAGGAACTCAGTACCATAGTAGCAACCAATTTTGATCAACTGTGTTAAAAAAGAGAGAGAAAATCTCTAAATCAAAACCAAGCGTAAACCAGTCTCTTTATTATTACTATCCATAAGACCTTTTCCCTACTTCTATCCATCTAACAAGAATGAAAAAAGAAATCCATCAAATATTTTTATGTTTCCAAGCTTGTTAGCCACAATTTACCCTTCTGATTGCTCACGTTTGAACTCACATTTCTCTTATCTTGTGGTACTCTGAACTAAAATTAACACAGACAGTCTAACAAACTCTAAGAATTGCAAAACTCTAAGTGCTCTACTTCTGTGTGGACCATTTGCATAACTTTTATTTAGTCATATAACACAGCTAGCTCATTAATTTTATTCAAAATCATACATATCCAACCTTTTTTTTTTTACTATCTTCCCAACAGTCTATCTACCCAAGTTTGAATGTGGATATTTGTGTTTGTGTTTATGTGTGTGAGTGTGTGTGTGTGTCTGTGTGTGAGACAGAGATGATTCTAGAGAAGATAAAATAAGATTTTCCTACTCAATTCACTGTATTAGTTGTTTGGAGAAAGAATTTCGAGGGAAAATCAATTGTTATATAGAAGAGGGAAAACCATAAAGATTCTCTGATAAAAATAAAAGGAAGACATTTAGTAAAATCATACAGATTACACAGACGTTGTGAAAAGAAAGAGACAAAACCAGACAAGAAAACAGGCAAGCTGTGGTAAAGGTTTGCTTTCTTTTGACAAAAGAGTGGACATAGCCAAGAAGATAATAGGAATTTGGCTATGTAGAGTTGAAGTCTCAGAAGAGACTGAAATCACACATTCTTTGCTCTTTCTCAGATGACATGGGGGCCTCCTCTTTCTGATACTGGAGATATCATGAGAAAAAAACATGCAAATAAAGCAAACAATTTGGAGGTGAAGCCAGATAAGATCTGGCTAGCTCCACCCTGGGAGAAGTGTTTTGGAAAGGTTTGAGCAATAATCAAATACTGAAATCATGAAGGGAAAGAATTTGGGATATGTATGAAAGAGCTCCTTTGAGCATGGACATTCCAAAAGGCTTTCAGGTATACTAGTCAATTTCTTATCTTAGTGATTAAGGCCAAGTCAGTGTAAGTAATAAATCATGTAGTGGCATATAGCATAAAGATTGAGTGAACAGACTCTGTATTTAGGCTGCCTGGTTAGAAGCCTTGTTATATAATTAATTTCTAATAGGGTATTTCTGCTATATAGGAAAACTGTTAATATGTGTGTATGTAAGTACGTGTTTTATGTGTAAATAGGATTATCATATTAGTTAAAGTAGATTTGGAGTTGATACTCTTTTCTAGATGGATAAAAAAATCACTTTTAAACATCAGCACTTTTATAGTAATATAAATTTTTATTTTTATATATTCAACTGGATAGAATTTACAAAGTGATATATAATAATTACAGCATAAAGAGTACTAATCAAGATGGCGTTATGATATCACAATTCAGTCATCTAGCTAGAATAGAAGTACACAGCAATAATGAAGATATAAGTTTTTGCTATCTAAAAAGACAAAGCCATAGTAAAAAACAAGATGAATATCTCTGTATATAAGAAAGCAGACAAAACACAACAGATAAGCAGTCACTGCTGAGTTCCAATTCTATAAGCAGAGAGAGAGGCTTGAAGTTTGATTTCTCAAGAAATGTACTATAAGAGGTGGGGGACTGGAGGCTCACTGCTGGAAACCAGAGCAGTCATAGTATTGTAGTCAGAAACATGTGTTATGCTTTTGACTGTTTTAGTGACTGGGTCTAGATTGAATTACAAAACATTAAAGGATGGGGGCCCTATAATTGCTCCCTGCAACACCTTGTTTGAATGAAGGAAGTAGAGAGAAACTTCAAAAATTACTGGAAAAAATAAATTATTTCAGAGAGATGATGATAAGATTTGCAGTGGCAAATCATAATTTCAGAGCTCATTAGGAAAACAACTGCTAAGCAAGAACAAATTGACTTTTGACTCAATGAATTCAGCAACTGGGGGATTAATTTACTCTGGAAGAAAATAAAGCAGTTCAAAAGGAGTTTAAGAACCTCAAATAATAGTAGCTGTATAAAAAAATAAGAAATTATAAAACCAACAGGCAAAATTGAAATACAATTAATAGTAGAAATGCTAGAAATTAAAAAGATAATAACAACCTAAACAGAGACACAAACAATATGACAAACTCAATCTTGGACAAGGTCAAGTGAAGAATTAAAGAATCACAAAATAGTACTTAAGCCATCATATAGCCCTGAGACCAAAGAGAAAAGAGACAGAAATGTGAAAGATTAACTAAAAGATGGGAAAACCAGATTTAGAACTCTAATGTTTGCTTACAGGAGTGTGAGTAGTAAATAATAGAAGGAAGAGCAGAGAAGTTATATTTGAAGACATAATGGTGGCGATTTTCTAGGCTTGAAGCAATACTTGAATCCCCAGATGAGATAAAGTGGTGGCTTTTAAAGCTTGAAATTCATTCAATCACTTATGAAGCTTAAGTGAGCAAACACACAAACAATTAAATGCTGGGCACAAAATTTATGTAACTGAATCAATTTTTTTTTGCCTGGGTTTTGGGGATGAGTATTTTGCAGAATTACTTGAAGACTACCTTTCAAGGGGCAGTGGGATTGCAAACCATTGCCATAGTGAGTGCATAGGAGGATTAATAAAAATAATTTGACACTGTTGTAGTTAAAAAATTTTTTTATTTCTGGGATTTTGGTGCACCCATTACCTGGGCAGTGTACACTGTACCCAATAGGTAGTCTTTTATCCCTCCCCCTTCCACCCTTTCACCGGAATCCCCAGAGTCCAATGTGTCATTCTTATGCCTCTGCATCCTCATATCTTAGCTCCCACTTATGTGTGAAAACATATGATGTTTGGTTTTCCATTCCTGAGTTATTTCACTTAGAATTATGGTCTCCAATTCATTCCAGGTTGCTATGAATGCCATTATTTCATTCCTTTTTATGTCTAAGTAGTATTTCATATACTACATTTTCTTTATCCACTGGTTGACAGATTGGCATTTGGGCTGGTTCTATACTTTTTGCAGTTGCAAATTGTGTTGCCATAAACATGGA